TTGTTTTGAATAATGTTATACATTTTTAGCATGAGTTTTCTGTGCAAGAAAAAATACAAGTTTTCTGGCTTCTTTACTAGTAACTAATTTAGAAAAAAAAAAAAAAAAACTTGCAATTTCATTTTTCCATTAACTCTAATAGTTTTTAACGTGCTTTAAACATTCTTTGGTCTCTTGGGCTGAATGAAAAGGCACACCAACAGTTACTGTCCAAAGATTATTTCAGTGATACTGGCTTTCATTTAATGTACCTCTATGTTATCTATGAGGTTACAAGTTTAGCTATACGTATTGTGTAGGGCCTTTGAAATACTGAAAGCTCAAATAAAGCCTGATTTCACAATGTGATAGATGATGAAAATAAATAGATTGAACTCAGTATCATAAGGAATTGCATATATATATTAAGACAAAATAACATTTAAAAAGTAGAGTGAGAGTACAGAACTGAAACAAGTCAATTATATTTGCAGATAGATACCCATCAAGGTCTCTTAATTACCTTCTAGTTCCATTAAAATGCAAAATTCTGTAAATACAGGATGTATCAAAATATTTTAGAAAAAAAATCACAAAGAAATTTTGTATACATTCTCTCCATATAAATGCATACAAAAATGAAAATGAACACGCAAATATATTTACACAAGAAGTAGCTGGGCAATAAAGATGTGAATGAAAATTCCCTTTTAGGTCAATTGCCAACAACATCTAGAAAAAAGTTTTTTTCAGAGAAATAGCTAAAATCATAACAATGAGCAGTTAGACAATGTTCTGGAGCATTTATCTACAGATTTCTCTACAGGTCGGGCAGAAGAAAATCTTCGATGATGTTACAATTTCCTCTGAATCTTTCATATTTCTAAAAATATAGCCATATTTGTTTCTATATTTATCAAGGTGAACGTATATATATATACGTGATGTATACTCTCCCTTTCTATATATAAGAATTTACTGCCAAAAATACGGAATGAATATCTATATATAGGATGATATACTTATCATTAGTTCCTTTTTGATGCTTGACTGCTAACAGTAAAATCCAATTCTAATTACAACTTTTAAATATTTAAATTATTTTCTGTTTCACACTAAAGATAGCATGGAATTTGAACATTTTGTTTTATAAGATAGTAGCCAGTGATCTAATAAAGCTCACATCTCTAAGGAGGGACATAAAATAAAACCAGAAACAAACACTGAGACTTTTTAATGTGTGGATTTAATAAAGTTACACCTTAACTGCTGCTATTATAGTAGTCCAGATGAGGTTGCTATTGATAATCCGAAAATTACTTAAGAAATTTCCCTGTATATCGAAGGTAAAAAGCTTTTCTGAAAGAAAGAATTTAGCTTCTTTTATGAACATGGTGAATATTTTATATTTTGTTATAGAAAACAGCATGCACATTTCCAACAAGAAAGTGTCCTTCCTGTAACACCTCAAATAACATATTCAATTTAAAATGTAAGCATGACATTCAGGCTTCATTTGCTGTTGGTGTCAATCTAAAAAAATATAAATTGATGCAGACAGAAAATTGTAATCTGATGCCCTAGGGCCAGATTCAATAAAAGACTTAGGCATCTAAATTTGGTGTTAAATCAAGTAACTTTTAGATGTTTGTCCCCCAGAATGGTAATCCTCAGCTGAAGTGAGGATGGAGCTTACATTCCCAGATATTGCATAGGGTACGAATTGCTGGACAATTATCTGCTGGGGGGGTTCAAGCACTCACTGCCACCAACATCTCTTAACAACATACAAGCCAGGTACTTCCAAGTGGTATCTATTAAAGTTAACAAGTGAAACTGTAGTCTGCCTAATCCAATATGAAATATAGTGCAGCTATCTCAACATAGCAAAGAGAGAAACTCCGTGAAATGGACCACGCTATAAATTCCACCTTTCAGATGCACTAAGACCAAAATCTAGGGTTGGAAGAGAAAAGGGACAATGTTAAAATATATTTCCTCTCTCACACAACACACAGTGATTAGATATTTGTCCAGGATATGTGTCTCAACTTCTCTTTTCTGTCCACAAGGAATAAGGATCTGCGCTTCCAACATTAAAGAGGTCAGGGATGAGAAGTTAACTTCCAAGACATTGATTATTTTGAACTCTTTTGTTGAAAGACTTCAAACCAATGAGTAAGAAAAAGATCAGATTTAAGTCACTTTAAGCTTAGGCTTGCTGCTAGTTTCTCCTTTCTATGCTTTTTTGAGATTTCATATACAAAATCACTAAACAGGTTAACAAGATTTCAGCCCCTAGAAAGACAAATTTAACTTTTCTTTTCATGGAACTCAGAAAGTGAGTGGAACTTCATATGCTTATTCTGAGTTTTGTCCCACCATGAAGCTAAGAAATGGACAAGTTGTGAAGTTGGAATCAGTAGCTGGAAGATATTCCCAACACCCACCATTTACACACGGTCTTTGAAAACAGAAGCTATTCCTAATTTTCTGCAACAAATACTGACATATTGGCAGTGAATCAGACCCAAAGAGCCTAATTTGATTCTTGGTGAGATAGTGAAAAACTGTCTGTAATGGAAGCTGAGGTCACTCAGTGCTGGGCACACCACAATCTGAGAACATATTTGGAAGTCTAAAAGCAAATTAAAAAGAAAGAAAACTTCAAGAGTGATTTACTGGTCTCTAAAACCAGTGAAAACAAACTAATTCCCATCACTGGGAATAAATCTGGCTGAATTTTAAATAGAAATACATATAATCTTTAAAAACTGAATAGCACTCTCTTTTTTACACTACTTGTAGATCTGTTGAGAAAGATGATTAGCCTATCTGTCTTATGCTAAAACATTAAAAGTCTGATACGTTGATCAGCTGTCTGTATTATAATTTTTTTCCTCCTTTTTTACTTCTCTGTTGACAGTAAATAATTTTTCCTTAAGCTCTGAACGCTTCAGATATTTTGACTATTTTCATTTTGTTTTAATGGAAGAAAGTACAAGAAGGGAAAAAGCAATGCCCTTCTTCCAAGCAGGATTTCCCAGGCTCTCACAGGCTCAATTAAAAACCATTTTGTAGTTGCAGCTGATAGATTCATGCCAACAAATGTTTAGAAGAAAATAAAATAATGTTTAAATGCTCATGATACTTTTTCAGAATATCTGTTTTCCTCTGATTTCATTTTCTTTTGATCCAGGTTATGAGGGTGATGTTTTCAACTTTGAGAGTACTACCACCTATTTGTTACTATTTTTTAACATGACTGCATTCTAACTGATTTGCAGTGGTAAGCAACAGTTTGGAAATCAGATTGCAAGCTCACAGTGACAGAAGTAGATAATTACTATCTCCACAAATATCTATAAGCTAAATCACTTGTTTTTATACAGATTAGATCAGTATTAAAGTTACAGGACTGCTATGAGAGACATGATAAATGTAGTCATGACAGAAAACAAATTTTAATTTACTCTATCAATCTAGATAGCCCATAAGCACTTATTATTAATTTGTAAGGCTGGAACAGAAGTGAAAGACAAAACAAAACAATAAAAAACAAAAAGAAGCTGCCAACAACAAAAAAATCAACTAGAAAATAGAAGATTTGTCCTAAGCAAGGAAAAACACCTGTTTTCTCAGCATTCTTAGCACTTCTGCTGAGAACAGATCTGTGTTTCAGTTCACAAAAAATGTGAACTGGATATTTGAAATATCACTGCTTTGCTTATACAAAGCCTCTTTTTTTAAAAAAATGAATGACGTAAAAAACAGTAGCAATTCTTACCATGTACTTCTTTTTGCCAGATTTACCAGTCTGATTATACTTAAATGAGTAACTTCAAAGGCTGAAAAAAATCATTTCTGGAAATTTAAAACAAACCTACTTGATCATATTTCACAGCAAGGATACAGTTTTGGGGGACTGAGTGAAGGCACAGTGTAAGCTAAAACAGGTTGTGTGTTCAATGAACCAAACTAAATGGTTTATATAACAGAAATGTTTCCATTAATTTTGGGGGGATAATCCTATTAAATATGCCACCTGTCCAGAATAGGTGTCCAGATATTAAATTTTTTCATATTCCACTGTTCAAGCACAAAGCAGAGCAAGTATCACCTCATAGATGATAAAATGTAAAATACAACACAAAATGTCGTATTTTGAAATCTTTGTCACTGAAGAGAGTTTCTCTAGCTGTTTCAATATGTGGCTGTTATACTTCCTATTTTCTCTCTCACTGTTCTCAATTAAGTGTTTGGTTTGTTTTTTTTCTGATAAGCCCCAAAATTCCTTTTCCACTGATTTTTTCTTATTTCTCATCTCCCCTCCAACAAAATATTTCTTGTCCATTAATAATATTTAAAATTCATATGTATTTAGCAAACATAATATATGAAATATACTTTTTAAAATTCAACCACTCCTCCAAAACCTCCTGTAACAACTCTGTATAAGAACATAACTTTGAATACCAATAGAGATTAAATGGTGTCATAATCAGTATAAGTGCATGTGGACTATTCACCTAGATCAAACACTTTGGTCATATACTCAATTAAATTTAAATCCCATTATATAATGTGTACCAGCCTCATTTTATGCAATTCCCTAATTTAATGACTTGGTATTAGCCTTTTTTCTTTTTGCACACATGGACTAATTTTCACGGTGCTCAGTTCCTTTGGGAAGTAGGTCATTAAAGTCAACTGGATGGAGACAGAAACTTAATACCTAAACAGCACTGTATAAGGGCCAGAGACACAACAGTACTATAAAACTGTTTTTCACTCATCCCCCTTTGTAATATCTGTGAAATTCCCACCTCATATAAATATTGTTCATTAATGTCAAGGACTACAAAATAGAAGAATCCAGAAAGCTATAATTCTCTTATAACTAAATTTTTGAAACATCAACAATAAGCACAGTATAAAAGAAATCACAATTATTATTTAGCTACTGGGAAAAAAAAGAAAAAAAAAAAAGTGAAACAGTGAAGTCCTAATATTCATATTACCTTTCTCAATGTGTATTCTTTTTGACTCATGTCCCATGTCATGACCAGCCAGATCACCTTCTTTAGGCCCAGGAAGGACATTAGGTGACAAACCCATCAGCATTTGGTTCATAGATAGCCCATTCTGATGGACAGCTGCTAGACACAAGCACACACAGAAATAAAATCAATTATTACATTAAGAATATTTATTTCTAATTATTTTACCTACTTTTCCTCTTAATTATACAAAAAATCTAGTAGTCATAAGGTTACTTAATTAGTGTAACCAGCATATAGACTGTGAGCCAGTTTCTTCTTGTCATACCTTTCTAAAATCAGTTCATTTTAAAAATAAGAATTCAGTATTTCTGGGGTCAGTTGGATATTTTCTTGTTTGTTTTGCAAGAACTGAAATCCCAATCAAAACAATCGGCAAAAGAACAGAAGGTTCTAAGGGAGACATGGGGTATAGTTAGCTTTACAAAAGTTATTTTACGTATTATCTAACTTAAGCATTGCAGTGTTCCATGTAAGAAATTACTGTTTTTCAGAAACGTATTGTGCAACATCAGATTTGCAAATCAGATAGCTAGAAATCTACAAAAGCTGTTCCAAGAGTCTCACAAACCCAGAAACTCCCAGAAAGTATACTATATCCCTAAATTATCCCTAAAAATTGCATTTGCAACTGGCGTAGTCCATTGTCAATACAGCCTTTTTTCATAGGCAACTCATATTTCTGTAGTAGTCATCTTATTCTTGCTGGTATCACAAAAGCAGATGTTCTTAAGGATCAGCTGTGATGACAACAAATCAGATAGGAGAGAAAAAGATTGTTCCTTTCAGTAAGTTACTGAAGTGATCCTGTATTTAAGGAACTTTGTTATTAACATTATTGGAGAAACAACAGGCAGAGCTTCCACTCTTGTCTGCTGGTAGGTAAGCAGATAAAACTAAAGGAGAAAGGCACTTCTTAAAAAAAAAAAAAAAAAAAAGTTTAATTCCACTGCAAAAACAACCATAATCTTTCTGTTTACTTTTTTATTTTAAAAAAGGCATTTATTAGTTGTAATAAATATATAACTCAAAAGAAAAAAATATATATATTTTTTAGTATTTCACTTACGAATTCATAAAAAAATAGGGAAATAGATCACAGTATATGGGATACTAGTTTAATCTACACTCTCAATTATCCAAGTGATAAGAAAACAGAATTCTCAGCTTGTCATGGTCAGGCCTCATTTATTTTTTTTGCTAACTCATTTTTCAGCACATAGTAATGACAGATCTTTCATCTGAAAGTCAGTGAAGAACTAGCTTCCTGAATGCAGAGTTTGAATGGAAACAGTCTAGAAAACTCATGTTTGCATCTAATCAATATGTCTACGTACTTCATAGCTATTTTGTAGCCTTCATTTTATATGCTAAATCCTCCAATTCTACCTGCTGAAGAAATCCACTGTGGAAAGATGCCTTGAAAGCATAAAAAACTGCAGTTGAGCGACAATAAAGGAAATGGATAAGTTCAATGTAAATTTAATATCCTAAAACAATAGGCATTTTAAACCTCAGATTCTAACCTGTAATAGTATAGAGCCCACTGTTTCTGTTACATAATTTACATCCCGAACTCAGGGCTTTGATAAAAGTGGTACTGTTCTGTGATATTATGGTTAAATTTCACTCCACCCCATGTGAACTATGAGGTAATAAAATTCTTTGTATCAATTCTCACCATTACAAGTTTTTTACATTTTCAGAATTTATAAAGTATACATATTTTTAATTGATTTACACTTGTTCTTCTTTTTTTTCCCAAGTAATTCTATGACGTAAAATGCTGCTTATGAAGCCAGATTCACTTCAGAAGTCAAACAAGAGTAGCCAAATTAAATAAAACTTTAAGTAAAAAAAACATACAACTGTATGTTCAGTTCTAAAAACTAATCTAGCAAATTGGTTCCTGGCTGTAATTCGTGTCTTGTGTCTTTATGTTTAATATGACATGATGGCAGTTTATATCAGTACCTGGTAATGTAGCATCAGGTATTATGATACTGCAAACTGGGGAACATGACGTTGGGAAATAGATATTGCAGCTGAACTTCTGAACATGATACCTGTGAGATCTATTTAAGATGAAGGCATTTTGATTAGAAAAACCAGCTGCACCTAATCAAATTTGAAGTGTTAACAAGGAGAACAATGTGACCTACGGATTCTGTCTGAAGAGCTCTCAGTCCGTGCAGGAGAGCTGGACACACTGCTGCTTCGATGAGAGGATGGGTGGCTGCCAGGTCTTCGGCCCTCTTCAAGAGAAGGAGCAGGAGAAGGGCTGTCTGGAACACGTTCCTATACGGCATGAAAAATAAATTTTAAAAAAACGCATGTTAAAATTTGGCTTCCAAGTCTCATTTCCCTAAACTGCATATACGTCCTAAATCAAAACCTATTTTTTTCTTCCATTGAGGTGTCCAGAATTTGCAGAATATTCTCAAAGGAAAATTTACAGTTTTAGGACTCAAAGCTCGTGTTAGTATGCAATTTGAAAGCTGCTCATCCTGTCAGGATTTTAAATTGCCTTCTGGACTACTTACAAAAATAAAAGTTTTGCTTTGCTTTTGGGTTTTATTTTAGTCACTTAAATCAGTGTGCTGCTGAATTGGAAATATACATTTTGTTTACTAGCCTACAGACATTAGCCTTGCGGGATGTGAAATAATGTACTTTACTAAATAAATAAAGACCAGACACTGTTGTTTTAACTCCCGATTAATTTTATTCCCTAACTTAGTATCAAAGGAGTTTTTGAGAAAAGAGATTTTAAAGAACTGCCATGAATCATAAAGAATACCAGACCAGAGTATGAGTGTCTTCCAAATGATGGAACTCAAACCAGGAATTAACCAATACTTATTCTAAGAGTGTTTTGCACCTTTGGCCTTATCAATTCTTCAAAACATGGAAAAAACGCCCACCATCATTCTTCTATCCAGAGGAAAGCATGTCATGATAGATGGGAGGAGCTACAATGTGCTTCAAGATGTCCTTTGATCTTGAAAGTCACAGCATGAGGACAGTGATGGCTCAGATTGCACTTCTTGCTATGTGATGTCAACATGCACCAGAGTGATTTATCCAATATTTACACAGAACTTTGAACGAAATAATGAACAATAGGGCAGAACAGTCCTTTTTGAGAAAAACCTCTATCTTTCTCTGCAGTTGGCTAAAACAGGTGTGAGTTAGGTTGGTTCGGTCAAGTAATTAAAAAAAACAGATAATTTCTAAGTAGCAATTCTGACTTCTAATGAAACAAATGAAGAAAAAGAGTATATGTTCAATTCACTAAAAACTTTTGGTAACAATATAATGCATTTTGTATGTTCAATAACATGTATTAAAACTTCCAGTTACAAATGTCTTTAAAGTGTTTTTCTAAAAAGAGCATCATGCTCCTCACACTGGACATTGATTTTGCAACAGTAATTATTCTTCATGCACACTATTAAGATGAATATTAATTCTGTTGAATGCATTCCTATGACACTTAGCAGCACAACTATTTACAGTAATCAATAGATTTGTTCTAGGTAAGATTTCCAATAAATGTCTGTTAAATTTGCAAAGGGATTCAATGGGCCTATTAATGGAGTGGGAGAAGACCTTTCAGAACAGTGCTTCAAAATGTTTAAGTACTTAATAGTCTCAGGTTTTTAAGTCAAAAACATTGATGAGAATAGTTCAACTGCATCATAGCTCTCAGCTTATTTTGACTTTGACTGTGTTTATATATCCATGAACTGGGTATTCAAGAGGAGGATTATAACACAGATGCTTTCCAAATGCAGAAGATTTATTTCTTTAGATTTAGGAGGATTTAAGCATGCACAGTGTACAGATTTGGTATAAATTGGAACATGGTATATTTAATCATTAATTTAATATATAATTTCACTGTTTGGCTTACAATGCATTGTTCTTAGAAGGGTTTCATTAAAATGAAATCCAGTGAGCATGTAAGATTTGAATACAAAGCTGCAGAGTAAATTAATTTATTTAAACAGCTTAATTTGTTTATCCTATTTATTTATGTGTGCTTTTACAGCACACATTATGAGACGGAGAGAGCAAAAGGAATTTACAGGACAACAAAATATAATTATTGTGCAAACAAAACATAATGAGTTTTATTCACATATAATATGACACAGCAGACAAACTCTATGAGAAAACTAAATACACTGGCTTTATCAATTCATTTCTAAAAGACCCTTTAACTCCAAGAAAAAAAATGGGATTAAACTATGCAGAATGTATTAATTGAATAATTTAACTCATTTTTATATACAGTCTACACCAATCTTTCATCTTTATCAAAACTAGCTGCAGTAAGAAATGGAAATTCTGCTAATAAGATATTGAAATACTCTGTAGCTCAAAAAAGTCAGAGTGATAAACTAATGGTGCTGAAATATCAATACAAGCATTCTCCCTTGCTACAGATTTTGTGTATAAAATAAGGATTCTATGTATGGTAAAATATTAACTTTATATTTACAGTAGCTTCACTTTGAAGTTCAAAAAAGGAAATGTGCAAAGATATGTTCACTAAATAACTCAGATGATCAGAATTTTTTATATCCTCTGTGAAACGTCAATTTTTATAAATAAGTCTGTGTGAGACACCAAAGAAGCAAAAAAATTTACTATGTTAGAATCCTGACAGTAGGATTATGCTACCTGACTCCCAGAAAACAAAACCAATCAGTACAAAAAACAAACAAACAACTGTATGATTTTATTTCAGATATTTTGCTAAAAACTACATATAAGAAGAAGACAGTTGTATTCAGCTTGAAATACACATCTGCATTTTGAAATTGAAATGCAGTTTTGACATGTTAAATAGATATGAAACTTCAGAGATACCTATACTTTGAATGAAGGGGTGTTTCAATCAAATGAGATAGATACAGACAATGAAGTCAGTGTAGCCTCATCCAAAACCAAATATCATGGATCAGTTCAAGTGCACATGTGTAGACACTGAGTTCTGTTTCAAACATCAAAGGATTCTGAGATGTCCAAGCTAGGTTCACATGATCTACAAAAGACCTGCCATCTTCTGGATTGGCAGCAAAATGCCAAAAGCATTATGCTTGCACATACTGGCTGATGAGCTGAACAGCTTCAAAAACACAATTGACAATATTTACTAGAAAACAAGTTACGCAGAATTATTTATGACTTGCAAAACATAACCCCAACTAGCTACATTTTTTTCCTCGTTCTTTTTGCTTCCTTAATTGTTCCTACACGTACTCCTAAGAAAAAGTGGTAGCAACTTAGGACATATGTTGCAATTTAAGATATGGTGACGCAGCTTTTATGAATAGACAAGGCTTTCAATTAGGCATCAAAACTGGAAGCTATACTAAGCAAATACATAGCACGCTCTTAAGGGACAGATCTGGAGAGTTCTTTAGTTCACTGCTCTTTACAATCTGATACAAATAATGAATTCTATGTATTTAAGAATCTGATGTTTAACTCTTTCAAAAATTATCTTAGCAAACACAAAGCTTTGCTATAAGGACTGAAGTGCCCTTCCTAGTACTCTTACTCCACTGACAAGTCACATACCCTCAATATTAGTCCACTTTATAATTAGCAGAATTGTTCTTGCGATACTGGCTTTTTTTAACTTATAAAGAAAAGAGATTTTAACAGAGATCTTAACATACATCTCTAGAATTAGAAACCACTCCATTTTTTTTCAAAATTAACACATTACCCACAACTTAATACCACCTCAGTTTCTCCAAGTAAAATAAAGATGTCTTGCTGTACTTAACAACATTCCCCTACATTTTTCGAAAAGCTCTTTGTGTAGATGGAAAGACCATACCATATGATCCCATACTACAACATTCCAAGACCATATTATAAGTTCCTTTTAAGTAACCTCTTATTAACATTTATCTTAATATATCACTAATGGCATTCAGAAAGTCATAAATTCTTCCCAATATAATATATGTCCTTTTCTTCTATTCAGATTTTCATCTTTTGAAAACTGCATTACCAGAAGTCATTCTCAAAAATCTACCATCAGATAAACTTAATGGTGTTCAGTTGTTGGTGCCTATAACATTACCCAAGATTATACATTTCAGGAAACCATGGGTTAATCCGTCTGCTCTTAAGAAGATAGAAAAGGAAGTGTATATTCAAGGATCTCATCAACTCAGTCTCCCCTCACACATGCCTTTATTCTTTGCCATCCCCATTCCAAAAACATTCCGAAAAAAATTTGAATCTATGAACTTCCAATGACCAACTACTTTTGCATGCACAGCCTTAATCTTCTGTATATCCCTCTCCTAAGAGTACCTAAAGGTATTTCCAGTCTCAGCTTTCTCCTGTGCTCTAGTTTGCTTCTCTGTACAACTCATCTCTTGAGCCTGATTCCTTTAATTTTAGGCATGGACTGAGTAGAAGACATGCAACTAAGAATATCTGAAGATGTACATCACTATTAAAACTACTGAGCTGTCTTGATGCTCTTCAGTGCTGAATAAACTCCTTTAGAGATGTTTATGCTTTAAGCCATTAAAGTGCAGGAGACAAAATTGCTCAGTTGCAGCATCATGCTTTTCAATAGTTTCAGTGACATCTTATGAGTGGATGAATACATGACAAAAACTTGTTTCATACAGTTAATTTTCAACTTTTAAAAATACTGAAAAGAAACCAAGCAAACAAAAAAAAATAAACAGAACACCCTCTGTATTAAAAGAGATTATAACATTTTGAACTTTCTGTGAAGGCACCTGGCTTCTGGTCTTTTTTTCTGGTATGATTACAATAATCTTCAAAATGACCAAAGCAAAAACTTCTTATTATTCAGCTACATATTGACCTACTTTGAACTCAAGTGAGGAATGGCTTTCTTGTGAAATGACATACTTATCTGACACTGTATTAGTTAAAGAAATGAATTCCTTGGGTATTGTTTGTATTCCCTGAAAAGGGGATATTTTGCTTTTATAGTTTCATCTTTTCCTGAGCTTCAGATTACAAATCAGTGTTTATTACAAAAATTTGAAAATGAAATGGGATAATAAATATTTCCTAACTTCCACAGTCACTAATAAAATTGATGTTAACAAACTGAATGCTATAAATGTTTATTTTCCATTTTCTTACTTGAATAACATCAGCTTGTTAAAGATCTTGCTCATGTCCCACTGATGCAAATGCTGTCTCTCACCTGTTTCTTACTAGCATACTTCTAATCTCAGTCAAAAATTGTGACTTTAAATGTTTTCTGTTGTCATTAATTATAT